ACTCCTCGTACTCCTTCTCTTCCTCGCGTGCTCGCGTCGCGTGGAGTGCCGTCGCTGTCGGTGGGAACGGCGCAGAAGCTATTACTCGACGAAAACTTACTTTTCTCGGCGAAATTACTTTCACGAAGTATCTTATTTCGTCGCGTCGGCAAGAGAGAAGAGCCTGCCGATGGCTTTCCAGCCAAGGGGAAGAGAATCGCGTTCGCGTGGAGATTCTCGCATCGCCCCGCGAAGACGTCGCCGCTCTGAGTCGGCCGAGATGTGGTATGCGTTTGTGCTTGTTTGTTTCAACGAGCCTGCCGAGATGGATCGGGCCGCTTCACTGCGTTTCGTAGATTGAAACAGGCATGCGATTCGCTGGAAGGCTTGCCTGAAGTATATACAACAAATACATAGATCAACGTATTTTGTGAAGGCAGCGCTGAAAAATGCACTTCTTAGTCCACAATCGCGCGCGTGCAATTGCATTTAGACGAAATTGATGACGACGAAGGAAGATGGAATATGGAAATGAAAAAGAAAGATTGTTGTATTGACGTAAGTTAATGCTAATTTGAGATTGAGTGATACGACGTGATACGTTTACGGTATACAATACGATGAAAGCTGGTAAATGCACGATTTACATTCGCGTCGGTTTGCATTGTGTTTCGATGTATTCAAATTATTACTCACTCTGACGTTAGTTATTTTGCTTGATGGCAAGAACACAAGGGCCTCGTTCTATAGGCTGTCAGTATCAAGTTATTATGTAATGGGGTCTCTTAGTTGCATTGTTATAGTAACAGTATAGCTACAATATCAAGAAATACTACGCAGAGATCTTTCGCAAATTAACATAAAGTATTATTCAATTGCAACTTTTTATTAACTAATATTGATTGTTTTAGCGAAAAAAATATTCTGATAAAAAGGAAAAGAGAATATTGATGGTTTCAAATACGAGATTTGAAATTTATATTAATGAAACATTTCCGGAAATCACATAATTCAATATTTGTTAATACGCTTTTACACGTTTTCAGCATTTATATCCCACGTCACTGACCGTTTCATGTGAAATGGATCCTTCTGACATTCCCTACTTTGTCAAACAATCGCAAGGTATTTTATTATTGAAGCACATGTATCGATTACGGTTATAACTAGTTCAGTTCAATTGTCAAAAAGCGCATGTGCGCATGTGGACATTGTGAAATATAATCAGGCCCGCAATCAGAATCCGAAACTGGGTTAGAGAGAGGCTGTAATCAGAATACATTGAATTACATCGTTATCGTGCTCCGCATAATGTTGCATAATGTAACGTACACGATCAATTATGCGACGATATTTGTGCTTAATTATGCACGTAAGCCGGGAATTCTCACGCTGATATCGACAATCACTTTTCGACTCGCATACGCGCATAGATTATGGATATGCCGTAGCCGATTACGAATGCACAGATGGTCAGATGCACCGATCTGTTAATGATGATTAACAAAAGCTTTAATGCATTAACGAAGAGAGGCGACCATAAGATATTGCTCGTCAGTTTCGCGATACGACGAATGCGGTGCGAAATTCAACATTATTGTACGATGTCAGAAAAAAAAATTGAATTACAATTCAGGTATATATATATATATATATATAGATTACCGATGAGAGAAATATTCGCCAAGTTTTTCGTGATTTATGAAACAAAGATATCTCGTTAAGAATTCGCAATACGTAATCCTCGTCATTTGCATTGTTCATTTGCCGAACCGTCTTTAGCTTCCGTAGAATCTCTTCCAGCTTCCGAAGTGAAATCGCGATTTTAATTATTGCGCTTAATATTATAGCATTTAGCATAGAATTATACTTGCAAATGAAATATCTTTCGCGTTGATTCAAAAATTATCAAACGTAATTCAACCTGACAAGTTTCGTCGATATCGTGGGAGTTGAAATTGATTCGGGACTTTCTTCGTGACTCCATCGGATCCGATGGTAGCAGATGAGCCAAGTTGGTTTCTGCTTGATGCTGGTCAAAGGTTTCGATCGAGAAAATAAATCGAATAGTGGGTGATGAGAGGCAACGGCATAAAGAAAGGAGTTAGGGCGAGTATAGCAAGGGGAGGCCGGCTGTGTAGATGTGGAGGAAAGGAAGGATATCCACTTAACAAGCGAGCAAGAGGGATACGCGTGCCTTGAGATCGAAATGAGATAGGAAAGGATATCTTAGAGTCATGGTACGCGACTTTCTCCTCCTGTTTCTTTCTATCGTGCCTCGTCTGATCTACGTTATTTAAACTTGCACTCTTCCTGCTGCTACCGTGTCGTTGCACGATACCTTTAATTCGTAATGCTTGCCTTCTACGCAACGAAGAATCAACACCGATATATGTTATTTCAGTCCGTCTTTCTTTGATCCCTTATTTTTGATGTCGTTCGCGTTTCAATTTCGCTCGTTTTCTTCTACTGTTTTTATATTGCGCTGCTTTTTTACGATCTTTTTCTGACGTTAAGTCTCTGGTCTTTACGACACATCGCAATGGCAAACGTTTTCTGTTACCTTCTTGCGCGTTCGACCGCGCGAAGAGAGAGAAAGAGAGAGAGAGAGAGAGAGAGAGAGAGAGAGAGAGAGAGAGAGAGAGAAGATAGAAATGTGCGAATGCACCAGTCGACGGCGGAAATAAAGCATTTCGGGCGGTAGGGGGGCATAATTTTCGTTCCTTCCGCGACCGTATTTCGTGAAGACAATGCGCCCTGGGTACCGCAATCCCGGATGCAACCGACCCAGAAAACACGGCTGGGATTACTGTACTGCGATAGCTTGCTTTCTACTCGTCTGTCTGTCTCTAGTCTCCAGATCCGTACTTCCGCCTACTTGCGATTACTTGGAAGTCCCAGAGGGTGTAGAGGGAAGAATAGGTAACTGTACAGCGACGTTCGCGATATTTAATGTAAGACAGAATACTGAGACAAAATATGTTATAAATCATATAATATGAAAACTTATATAATATGTAATATATGGATATTATAACATATAGATCCTGTATATAGAACATGTGTTAGATATTCTACTGTGACGAAATTCTCACAAGATGGTAAAACTGATATATAAATAATTCTTTTCTTTTTGTTTCAGCTTAAAAGCTTGAAAAAGTTAGCATTAAATTTTAATCAATGAAAATTTTTCAATCTTTTAATGTTTTAATGAGCGTTTTACGAAAATATCTTTTTTATCAATCCAATCGTTTTTTGCATTAAAACATTACCGTAAAGAATATCCCAAAGTGCATATCTGCTACTACCTTGGAGATAATTATAACGATAAATGTATCCATGACCCATTATCTTCCATTGTTAGATTTTATTGTCTTGCTACTTGAATAAATCATGAAGTGCCATTCACCCAGAGAAAGGTTTCTTCGAATAAAAAAAATATTTCTTTGCTATACGGTTAAAGAAAAAATTTCTTTGATTTGAACACAATTTCTTTAAATCAAATAATTTTTTTTTATTTCAAAAAATAATATTTAAATCAAAGAAATTTTTTCTTTAATCGTATAGCAAAGAAACATTTCTTTAAATCGAAGAAACTTTTCTCTGGATGTTAATGTAAATATCGCGAAACGTCTACTATTTTAAATAAAAACCTTTATCAATCTAATTGATTACGTATAATTCAAGTATCGATCTGACGGTCCAGCAAAATTAGAGAATATCATAAGGCAGTCGTTCTCGCTGTCTGTCAAAGTGTCACCTTCGAATGTCAATTCTCGGAACCATTACATCGAGATTATCTTTATCTGGCTAAATCTTCAATGTAGTCATCACAAATAAAAATAGAGAAAGATGTTCAGATAGATCCGAACTCTAAAGGTTTCAATACGTCGTAAGCCATAATACCGCGTGTCCAATAGTTTCTTCCATGTATTTAAATGCCAATATCTTTCTATGGATTTACGTACGCTTCTTCTTCCATGTTTGTACATTGCTACAATGCGTACAAGTCAATGTATCGGAAACGCGTTCGCCATTTTTCCTCACTTATCAAAGTATTTGTATACGTAAAAGTACAGACGCGTCGAGTCGCTTCTCGGCAGTACGTGGACCAACTTCAGTACTCCAAGGTATGCCATTATCAGACACATCCACTACGAAGTTAGACAACTTCGATGGGAACTGAAGAAGCGGACGAAGAAGGCGGCTAAAGTTAGCCGATGAATCTGCCGGGAATAGTCTACCAACGTTTCATCAAGTTTGCTAGGCGCGCCGCGCGATCCGACCCGTTCATCCTCATTTTTTACTCGAATCAGATGTGCTTTTACACACGCTCATGTACCTAAACTTTTTGCCGCCGTGAAATTTCTGAGCGAGATATTATACGCTGCGGGAAAACACCGACACGACAGTCGGATATGCGCGCAGGCCTGTGTTTTATTGCCACCACCGGCGAATAAATATGCGGACATTTCCGCCATGGTCTCCTACTCGACCATAAAAATGATAAAGAAGGGTATCGACTGCCCAACCACCTTGAAATGCTGAAATACATATGGAAACGCACCATCCGACGTCTTTTGCTTGAAATCAATGCGCACCCCCGTTACCCCTTTTTTCCCACGGTAGTCGCGATCGCTTTCGAAGATCCTGCTGTGCTCGCACTCATACTGCAAACTCACTTCCTCTTCGTTTCAAGTGTGTTCTGCGGATAAAACTTCTTACCGCTGGTCATTCTTAGTTCTCAAGTACTTCGTCACACTAAAGTTTCTAAAGCTGTAACTGTCCGAACCTTAGTCTTTTCTTCGAATCATTGATCGTTCAGATACAAGGAGCAATCGTGTTAATGAAAAATGAAAAAAGTTTATTTACTAAAACTTACTGAAAATTTCCAATCATTTCGAATGAGCTCGTATTTTTTAATATAGACTTATAGGTATCTAATTTATTGTGTTACATTATTATGTAATTGTACGTATGTAATTGTATGTATTGTAACGTATGTAATTATGTGCTTGCAGGATTAATTACGCACATCGAAGATGCAGTAAAAGGCTCAGCTCTTGACAATTATCACATTCGGTGAGTTATTTATGTAATTTTAAATTTATCACGTAATAATTTTAATAATATGATAACATAAAATGGAAAGTAGGTTTAAATACACGAAATTATTCGCAAGCGCACAAACTATGTACAAATTTAGAATGTTTTAAAAATGTTGAGTACTCGATACAGTCGCTCATTCGCAGTTGAAAATTTTATGGAAAATTTTACTGAATCAAAGATCGGATGTTTATATATATAAAAATCTATGAAAAGTTTCTTACTTCCTGCGACGATTTTCAAGAGATATTCGTGCTGAGCTACTTCAGTCGATAAGTGCACCGACCTCCTCATGAATTTCATAAAGTTTCATCCGTCCTGTACATCGGGAGTTTCACGAGGCCCGCGAAAATTGGTGCCATTCGACGCTCGCGTAAAGCTTCGTCAAAATCGAAATCTAAGATATGGTGTTCGTATACCACAGCCCGTAGTACTATGAATCTCTTTCGCGTTCACAAAAATGGGGTTACGCCATGCGGTTGCACGAGCCAATCCAATCAACTCACTTGAGAGACTTATGACATGAATTTCATAAAGCGAGAACGGAAGGTACCTTTTAAGCGTGCGGAAATAAGAGGGATAGAAGTTCAAAGGATCACGCTATTTTCAATATCCGCGCGTCTCATTTTCGGCGATTTTGAATTAAAGAGAATGACAGTTACTTCTAAAATATAAATTATTAATTATATGAAAAATTGCATATTCTTCTTCGCAGCGAAAAGAGATTGAATTGCTAATGCAATTGATTAAAAATACAGTCGACTATACTAGATAGCTTTGTTTTTATAAGTATAATCGCAGACTTAATTTTTTAATTAGTTTTTGACAAATGTGATTTTGGATATTATATTTTAATTACACTATTTAATTTTCCATAATCTTGCTAATATCTATTTTAGCCAAAAAAAAACGATATAAATTCTTTATATCGGATTCTTCACTCTCTAAAATAAGTGAATCAGTGACTTCAGTGCTTATAACTGATATAATCATCAGTAAAAATATTTATTATTTTTCAGAGTAATAATACACACTGATCCACACTTTTAGAGAGTATCCAGCTTGTGCCATATATTATGCATAGTTTGATAGTATCAATGATTTACTTTCATTATTTATTAACCAAGCTTTTTTCATTGGCATGTGATGAAGTTTATTCCCTGGCGATGAATGTCACGCGTTATTGCGCAATGTCTACGGTGTTTCGTGTAAAATTCATTCCCCTTTATAACGATAATGACCCTCCGTACTACGTCCGCTCACTGAATCATTCATGACGACGTGGGGTCAGGCTTGTGGAGCCTTCGTCAGCTGCCGTGCGATTACCGTGCATTAGTCCGGGTAAGTCTCGCATTTTCCGAGAGGATAGAAGTGCCTTTCAGAAAATGAGGAAATACTAAAAATCCCTCAAACTTCACCACCACCGTCGGATACCATCGCCAACTTTACGAGAAACGCAAATGTCGTTCCCGCGCTACGCTTTTTTACTTAGATTTCTCACGTCGTTACCGCATCTCAAGTTTTATCGATCTTATTGGCAGCATCCCGCCGGTTCCGAATGTTTTTCCAATATCCGTGACTGGATTTTGTGACATGACAAATGCAACGCAGATAAATCGTGCTCATTATTTACCTCTCGATTTCAAATACTTTGTACGCAACAAGAAATAAGATATATCATGTGGCTTCGATTATACGATTTTCAGAATAAGTGTACCGGAAGTAAAATGCAATGCTCAATCTTTTCTACTCGGCCCGAATAAATTATCATTTGAACATTGTCTTATTTAAATCCATTCTTATATAAGTATGTAAACTCTAACACTCTATAAATGGGAACGAGTAGAGTCTTGCTCTTATTTCAATATGAAGGTGCAGTTTTATAGGTAGAACGTGACTTAACGACGCGATTCAAATAAAAGATAAGAATAAACGGCTGTAGTAAGAAAGTAGTAAATCAGAATACGGAGCAAAGACGAAGGTGGGAAACTGAAACAACGGTGCTTATATCATATAAGAGAAAATCGAAGAAGCCAATTAATGATCTCTTTCTCTATGCTATTCATACTTTCCTTTCTTTCCGTTCACCCTTTACGTAATAAGTTCTTTCTGAGATTTCTAGTCGGATAAACTAACCCAGAAAAGTGTGCAAAACGGAGGCAAGGATAAGTCCATTGCGAATGCGTAAGCGAATTACGGAAGTTCTTTGCTGGAGCGAAAAGAGTCGACCAGAGTGACGGAACCGGAGAGAAATCCTTTCAGCATTTTCCCGTTTCGCGGATGCTCCGTGGACATTGCCGAGCTAAAACACGGTTTCTAGGACTAATGGAAACGCATTAATTTATCGCGATATCATGAATAGAAACTTATTTGCACGCTCTGCGTCTCTTCAATAAATTATATCAGCCTTATTACACAAATGGAGAAATACATACTAAACTCTCCTAAAATAAAGATTAGAGTACGTATATGTATATATATATATATATATATCCATTTTTGAAAAATATAATAATGGAATAATATGAATATTATATTATGTCTATTTTAAAATTTTTCAAATAAATCAAATATTAACGACGAAAGATAATTTCATGTAAGCATGAAATGTTTATTGTTACGACTGGAAAAGATTTCTAATCTTTTTATAGTTTTTTACACCTTTTAAAGTATTGACTTCTACTACGTATAATTCTCGTTACGATTATATTTTGCATACACGTTACTGCGACGTGCACATTCTTTTTTCTTTTTATAAATTGCAATCAATCTCTCAAGTAAATAGATTCGGGCGACAGAACTGTGATTAAAATTGATTCCACGGATAGCATACTTTATGAGAGAATTTCTTTCGTCGTTATTCAACCAACGAGAACGATCACGCGGATTCAAATAGAAATATATCGAGCGACCTACCGATGCTGGTCCAATCAAGCCGCGGACCAACGGATTATATGTCTACGGGGGAATTCACGTCGGGAATCCCTCGCGCGAACTATTCGCCTCGATATATCGGTTGACCTGTTATTATCAGAAATAATAAGCTCACAGCTGACCGGCGGTTCCTCGTGGGAATCACCCTATTGGACACCTGATGACGATCCTCCCTTGCGACCGCAAATACGGACAGCACGAGAGCACTTGACCGACTTTTCCAATTGGTCCTGCTAAACTTATCCGATCGGACATCAGTCCAGCTCTCTCTCTCTCTCTCTCACTCTCTCTCACTCACTCACTCTTCTCCACACAGACCAATAATATCTCGCGGAACGTAGTGACCATAGGACCGCCTCGGGGATGCAACGATCCGTGGGAAACGCTGGTTGAGGGAAGACGATCGATAAAAAAGTGAGAACGTGAAGTTTTCGCTAATACAAAGTGCTTGATTCTCTGTAGATGAAACTCTATAATTATATTCAGCGAATTCTACAGAAATGTAACTAGGAAAGTGCATGTGTATGAAAGATTAAATATCAAAAGTTATAAAGATATTTAACATAATTCCGAACTTATAATTATATTATTTCACAATAGTAGATATATCCGCCGTAGTTCGCTTATTGATGCACAAAGTTACTGTATCCTAAAAAAGAATCTACTATTGATTTCAAGTATTCTTGGTATTTGACGTATGAATCAAATAACGTTGACTACACAATTTCCATTGTACGTATAGATAGGCCTTTCCGTTATATTCTATTCATGATAATGAGATGTGATTGAAATATCGAGAAGTTTAACAGTTGAACAGTTTAAATTCCATCTGATGAATAGACATTCTATTCTAACGAATCAGAGAGTTAAAGTAAAACGCGTTCACGATATCGCTTTAAAGTTAAAGTAAGATGGGAATAGGCGTAAGATTTTAGCGGCGGCAGCAGCGTTAAGCTAAGCCATAATCGTCTTATTTCCGTGTTAAATCTCTTCTTCTCTTATCCTTGTACTTCGGGAGTGGAAGGTGCCACGAATACCAAGCGGATGATATGACTGGCACCATTGTTCTCAGCTTACACCCTCCGCTACACGGTTATAAGCCGCCGCCCGAGCGGCGAGAAACATGCGAATTAAAAGCCGTTTCCTCAAGATGAGCCGCTATGTTACGAGAATAAGCTTTGACCAGCCAGACAGGCTGCCAAGATAATATCACACCCATACTAGATACTGTGATTTCCTACTAAAGTCGGTTAACCGTAATCGTAGTTTAATTCATTATTTGCTTTTTTTCTGCAGATGAAAACTTAAGTAAGAGATAATTACATTTTAATCTTAATTAACTTGCACTAATATTTGCGGTAATAATTTCTAATGATTTTATGAGTTTTTATGAGATTTTTCGTGTTACTTAAATATAAGTTGCCAAGAGAATTTGATGGATAGTAATTAAGTTTGTGAACGTTCAGTTTCCAGACGCACAGATGCATATCTATTTTTCCTGATTAAATAATTAAGATCCGTTTCCGTACAATAGCGTGATTTTACTGTAGATCTCATCCGCTTTTGATTTTGAGCGAAAAGCACAATATCGAGTGACAAGTACATGCTATAAACTAGAGTTTCGCGTGAAACATAGTGGATCTTGTTGCACGATTAAAATATCTTGGTGCAAATGCACTGCTACGATTAGGAATGTTTTCCTGAAAAGTGAAAGACAAACAGTATAATATTAAATGATATATATATATATATATATATATATATATATATACATTATTTTTTATGAATAGAACGGAGTTGAATAGAATTTTCATAAATGTTTCATTAAATAATTTCTGTAAAAATTTGCAAAGATATTAGTATAGATATATATATATATTTTTTTTTTTCTTTATTTTCTGTCAGCTCTATTATCTATATGTATTGTTAACAGCACTCAAAGAAGGTATCATAATTTACGTGTAATGCACGTGTAAAGGAGAAATTAATTTTATAAATGACACAGTTTCTTAATATTGACGTAGCGCGGTAAAGAAAGTTAA